TTTTATTGCTTTTTTTGTCATTGTATACATTTTTAACTTGTAATTTACATGTAATTCGGCCTCCTCCGGGGCACGATATATGGGACTTTGAAATAAAATTGAATTTGAATTGAACAACATAAATAATCTGAAACTATGGATCGATCGTAGATTGATCGACAGATCATTGTTGACAGGAGAATACTGCTGCAACATTAAAAAAACGTCGTGTAAAAATATTTAGGATCATTAACGAAATCATACATCATATATAACTATTCAATAAATAATCAGCTTCAACCTCAATCTTTATTTCACTTTTCTGACTTATTATTATAATATTGCGATTATATATTTTACTCAATGATTAATATCCTGAATTTTGTTCATTGCATTTGTCTTATTTACTTTGATTAGTGGACAGATGAGATACCGTAGGAATTTGGATTTACTGTACAATGTTGACCGTTTTGTACGCCTATATCGTTCGAGCTTTACGGTTTATTTGTACCATTACTAATTTGTGTTTGTGTAGGCCTCTATGCTTGTATTCAAACGTTTCGTAATGTTACACAAATTAGGCCTACTAATATGAAGGGAATAATGTTAGCATTATACTAGGCCCCTTTTATTGTATTTTTTATCACTTTGAGCTTCTTAGTCCTATTCATTGGTTGATCCTTTTATTCTTGGATCAGTGTTTGGTTTTAGACCAAGGACAATTTTGTGATATTTTTATTTTTATATTAATGCATATTGTGCTAATACTTTTGATTCTACTTCACTTTTATTTATATCAGTTTGTTTTGTACTCGGTTTGCCTTAACAAGAGGCTATACTCGAACGGTACCATGCGAATAAGAAAGTATTTCCACTCTATCGTGCAAGTAAGGAATTATTCGGACTTTAGGCCTACCATGCGAATAATACGTTCTTATTCGCATAGTAGTTTTCAAGAATGATTTAATTGTGCCGTGCGGAGTGTCGAAAAAAAATATCTTATTCGCACTGATGGCTTTATTAGGACCGTGAACCGTTAATATACAAAATATCATATAGAAGCCAAACATAACATAATTCTTTATTCATTATGATAAATAGAAAAAAAAACATATAGGCTCGTACTGTAAAACACTAGGAATACCAAATGCCAACATAAACATTACAGTAAATAGCTTAAACTCTTCAAAAGTTATTAGTATTTAATAAATCATATTTTAAAGTTATCTTTTGCATTGATCATAATGTAGGCCTATTTATTTTATACACGGTAACAATTTTGATAGATTTTTTTTTCTTTTGCCATTTTAATATTTTTTAACACGTTTCTCCTTCTAGGGATTTGATAGAAATTAAAATACAAAAAAATTAATAATTAATGTGTAATGATAGTAATGGGACTAATATAAATTATTGGGAGATAACATCCAAGAGTGCAGATTGAGATAGTACGGACATGTAATGAGACGGGAGGTGGACATGATAAGATGGGCAGCAGAGATAGTGGAAGATGGTAGCAGACCAAGTGGGAGGCCCAGAAAGGGATGGATGGACTGCATCAGACAAGATGGAAGATTGGTGAACCTAGAAGCAGCCATGGATCGCACCAGATGGAGGAAGATAATGAGACGACCCGACCCCCATGTGGGGCCAAACGGGATGATGATAATATAAATCATAGTATTAATAATGTTAATAAATAATTTTCCATTTTGTTTGAAAGTCATTTCAATGCTTGCGGTACACCAGTATGTAGTTTTGAAAAGAATAGTGTAATTGAGAATAAATTATCATTAACAACAACAAACAATCGCTAAAAAACCCCAATAATAATCAAGAAAATATTAATATAAATAGAGTAATGGAATAAATAAATAAAAATAAAATTGTCGTGAACACAATAAGAAATCATATTGACTGCTGCTCTACTCGAGCGGATGAATCATGGAGCTATAAACATTAAAAATTGTTATAGCTCCAACAAAACAAAGCTAATCGTCAGCAAATAACTTAATCTTTGTTCCGGAACTGAGATCTTCTTCAATGTCGCTAATGTATAAACACATTAACGGTCCAAGTACCCTGAGGCACTCCTGTTGTTACTTGTGTTGATTTAGACATTTCTTCATCAATCGCAAACGCTCAGCACTGGATACAATTTAGTGTTTTTCCTGATATATCTGCACATCAATTTGGTTCTATTTCCTTGATCGAGGTAATAGCTGATCTCTTAAACAGTGTTTCGCATGAATTTTTCTTTAGGAATGTTGATACATGGTTTGATAATGTTATGCTTTTCAATATGTGCCATAATGGTATGAAATAGTATGCTCTAACTTACAGAATACAGACGTTAGCGAGACTGGTTTGTAATTTGCAGGTACCAACTTACCGTCTTTCGGTATTCAGGCAATACTCCAACTTTCTTGCATTATTAACTGCAGCCCCTGTGCTTCGCCATTATTGCCCGCCAAGTATCAATCTGTTACATCTCCAATGTTAATGGTTTATTTGTTGTCATTTGGTGGTGATCTAAGAGGGCAGAATAAGTTGCCCAATTTAAAACCCTTTCATGTAATTTTTATATCATCTTATTTGGAATAGCCTGTCATTTGAAATACACAGCTCAAATTCAAATGAATCAATGGAATTTATATTTAATACTTTACATTTTAATCGTTTTGCCATTTTTTTTGTCCTTCAAAGACAGCCTGACAGCACAATGATGGTGACAGTGGGGTGGTTGAGGACAATTGCTGCTCGTGCCATCCCAGCAAAAAAAGAAAAAAAAAGACAACCCACTCTGAACCCTCCACTGTTTTTGCTGTATTATTATATTTTTGATATTACAATATTACTTTTAATTTCTCAGATAAAATGGAAGATCTACTAGTTCCAGATATACCTGCAGGTCCGAGTTTTACTCAAGATGAGATAGAGGAAGAGCCATCTTGTTGCTCACCAACCCGTTTAAAGTTAAAAACTCCTCCTATCAAAGTGTTCAGTTTGATCCATATTGTGTGTGGTGTATTGGGCATTGGATTGGGCATCTTAGCATGCGTCTTTGGTTGCATGTACCCCGGAGCCGGCATTGCTGCTGGTATAGCAGTAAGTCACAGTTATGAGGACGCTGCATGCTAATAAATCTCTTACTTTCGTCAATATAATGTAGTACTTCAGAAAAATGTTTAAAATTACTTTTTTAAAACAATTATTACGATCTAACCTATTTTGTTGAATTATGATAATCTTGTATTTCATTACTGTTATTCACATATAAATGTAGGTCTCCCTCCAAATAAAGCCCATTTTTGGGACCGGTATTTCCATGGTGTTTAGAGAGATAATAGAGAGTTGTTAATCAAGACCAAAGAAAACTTGTGTTTCATTAGAAGTTTTGATTGGAGAAAGTCTTCAATTGGAGGTTTTTTTTAATTGGAGAGGTTTCATGTTTGTGTGTTTTTTTTATTTACCATTTTTATTCATTTTATCATACGTTGCATTCAAAATGAAAGTAAACAAAAACAATTAAATAAGTGCCCTTCTTTTCAAAACATAGAGTAGTATACATATAATAAATACGTACAAAAAAGTATATATTTTATATCCTGTAACAATTTTTATAAATTCTTTTGCAAGTGAAAATATAATATTTATTGCATTTAATATTCAAAATCTTGCTGTACCATTACGTTAGGTGAACTACTTATATATCAGTGGTCAGGGTACAAAGGCCATGACTTGAAACATTTAAATATTTATTATTTATTTGAAGCTTTGAAAAAGAACATGCAGTGAAGACCAAAATGAAAAGAATTTCTCTTGGTTGCAGGT